AGTAAATATACCTTTCGGTAAGTTATACTGTATCTTTAAATAAAAACGAAAGTAACATGATGATCGGTTTACTTGAACTGAGGAGCAACGATCTGTGATCAGAAGAGCTGATTTATCAACTTCAATTTATCAATAACAACTTTCATATCAAAAGTCAAAAAGTATCCTGCTCTGTCTAGTCTGTCGGTGTCAGTGTCCTCTTTGCCCTGTGATTTTTCTCTGTGGGAGAGCGTGTGAAAAGTGTCAAATGCGTTAAGCGCCTTTCAGACAGGACGCGGAATGCGCGACGCTGCGGCCGCTTGGTTCAACGTTGCCCTTCAGATACAACGCGATTTGCCATTTTACAAATAAAAAGTTTAACTATTTTGAACTTTAACACCGGCGTGGTCGATGCAGGTCAACGCAGCAACAAAACAACCCTGCGCGTCGCGCTCGTATTCCGCGTCCTGTCTGAAAGTCTCAAGCTTGAGTCTAAAGCGGAATGTCTGAGAGTTTGGCAGCCGCGTTTTACCGCGATTTATCGCATTACCGAATACCGGCACATGTCTAATTAGCTTGTTAACTGCTAAAATAATGCTTGCTTATTTCTTCTATTTTGGCATTGTTTGTGGCTTGATTTAATCATCATCAGTGAAAGCTTTTTGAAGTAATATGATTTTGTCATTAAAAACCAAATTCAAAAATATGACTCCCAAAGTCACCAGAATTCAATGATTTGGTGTTGTTTTTGCACACACACACAAACAAAAATACTCTTCACAGGAGGCTATGCCCCCAGACCCCCCTAGAAGGTACTCTAGCAACTATTTTGGGGGGCCATGTGCCCTCAAAAATGTAAAATGCATCTTTTGAAATACAATGTGCTTTTACACTTCATTTTAAAATATACTAGAAATAATGGATTTTTGGAAAAAAATAACATTAACATGACAGTATTTGAACATAGCCTCTGTACATATATAAAGCAAACATAACTGTGTAAAATAAATTATCGACTAAGTGTGTTCAATGTTGACTATCAGCATTAGTACTGTTTAGTCAATAAGTCTCACACATACTGTACATACTATGAGTAAATGAAAAGCCGTGGGCTGTAGGCAAATGATATTTTATCTTTAATGATACATAAATAAAACAAACAGCATTTTAAATTCTAAAGCTACTTTCTGTAATGTCAATTTAATGCTTTAATAATTTGTTACAATAACGTTGTAGTTATCTTCATTTGTGAACAGCAAATATTGTGTTACGACCCAGTGACGTGTAGCTCCTACTTCTTGAATTTGATTTGTCTGCCGCTAGGGGGCGTTTTGTTCTGTTCTGTCTTGTTTTGCGTGTTTGGAGCAATATTAACCAACTGCAGAACCGCAGAACCATACCTCATAGCAGTGTGAGGACGACAGCGCCAGCCTGACATTCTGATGCCGGAAGTGGGCCATATAAGGCCAATGCACCTTTATAGAGAGAAACGTAACTTTCATACGGATTATTACATAATCAGAAGATATTAGTTTTCAATTCTAATTTGTTCGTTTTAAAGCTTTTGCCTACATAGGTTATATTTTGTTTCAGTTCTCGTGCTTCAGTTCATGGAGATGAAAGTGCGCCTGATTGTTTTAGTTTATTTTACAAAAGCACAACGTTTTCTTGTTATTGTGAGTTTAAACAAATAGAAGTAGTAGCGAATAATGTATTATTATTTTCCTTTATGACCAGAAATGATAGAGTATTTTAAGTTGTTTCCACTGTTGATAGGAAAATGCAAGTGTCCGTGCCCACGATTCCCTGCTGCTATTCAGTGATCGCTCCACACTCCACACAAACACTGGGATATGCGTCAAAATCTTGTGTTTATTTGTGATAATCTTAGCCCTGTATTATGAATGACATGTGACGAATTACTTTGTTCCTTTTTTTGGGATAAAAACGTCTTCTGCATATAGCCTAAAGTAATACATGTTATATTAATGATGATAATTATATTATTATTTGCGGACACGTACACCAAACACACCGTGTCTTCTAATTGTCAGGTGATTGCAAATGCGCAAAACCTGTTTCCATTGCAGTTTTGCGCAATATTCCTTTTTCAAAATGCCCGAAAACCCTCATGCGAGCATAAAAACGTTTTTACGATAAACGAGAGTTTTTGCGAAATAGTGTTTCCATTGTGCGTGTGTATTAAATTTGCAATTTCAATAAGCGCAATTTGAAGGGTAATGGAAACGCGGATAGGTGACACCATTAAATGAGAACTGAACTGAGCTGGACGAAGACATCAGAATAGCTATATATTAATTAACTGAAATAACTTTTTTACAACAGAAATGATTCAACACTGAAATTACTTGGATTATAACACTATTTTGTTCTAGATCTGCAGAGACAAACTTTGTTGAATTATTTTCATATCCCTGTAAACTTGCTTAGAAACAATCTGTATTGTAAAAAGTACTATATAGGCTAATAAATGTGACTAAGTGATAATTGTGACGAAGGCACTTAATCATATAGGCCTATTGTTGTTTTAGAGTTGGATTGTATCACTTTGTTAGGTTACATCATGGTTTGTGATTTAAGTTGTTGTTGGCGTAGTATCATACAGCATTTGTTAAATTTTCTGACCATGAGAATTTAAATATATATTTATCCTATATATAGGAGCACACAACGATATTTTGATATTTCAGAGGAAAAAAAACATTTTATTTAAATGAAACATTTTTTTCTTAGTCTATCATATAATTGTTGTGTATGGTCTATGAAAAAAAAATAGACCATAGCCCTTTTTTTTTTTTTTTGCTGTTCAATTTATATTGTTAATCTTTTAACTCAACAAACGAACCAAATGGATAAAGAATCATTTTAACTTTTGAAAAAACTATTAACATTTATTAATAGAAATATTGTCTTTTGTTAATAGGACAATTCATAATTCTTTTATAGCCTACAATTTAATTAAATATATGAAGAGTTTATATGAAATTTTCTTCTAAAATGACCATTTTTATCAAGCTTGTATATTTATAGGTTCAGTAATTTCACTTAAATGACAATTAATAGGTAATCTTCATTGCCATTTAAGTGAAATTACTGAACTTAAATATACAAGCTTGATAAAAATGATCATTTTAGAAGAAAATTTCAAATGGCACTTAGAGGCTTTTGCATCTGAACTCTTCATATATTCATATTAAATCGTTTAAAAAATAATAATAACATATAAAGGTTCTTTATAATAACGTTGTTTTAAACTTTAAAACATTCCAAAACATGGAAATAGCGCAATGCCTTGCCGCGCCCACTTCCGGCATCAGGCTGTTAGGCTGGCGCTGTCGTCCTCACACTGCTATAAAGTATGGTTCTGCAGTTCTGCAGTTATGCTGCGTTCACGTGCTATGGAAAATAGGACATTTTCCACTCGTGAACTGGTATTTACCAGTGTTTTGCGTTCAAGTGCTTTTTTGTTGTTGTTGGTAAAAATATAAAGATCCAGACCTGTTATTTAGCTAAAACTATTTTAGATTGCTTAAGTCATCTGCAAAAGCAAGAAAATGATTTATCAAAACTCAAGAGGTAAATAATATGCTAATATATTATCTAGATCATGAATAGTATATATTTTTACCATTCACGACTCTTGCGGTACTCTCCGCCATTTTGAAATGGTCAAAGGTTATCTCATCTCGGCAACTCGTCCATCAAAATATTCTACGAGTTGACCAGTAGAAAATATCACATGAGGGGGGTGTTCATGTGCATTTTCCACGTCGGCTTTTGGTATTTACCATAATTACCATAGCACATGAACGCAGCATTAGACCTATCTCGTTTGGAGGGTGGAGTAGAGTGACAGGTGCTGTGGATTACCTGTGATCAACAGACTGATAAGACAACAACGCTTCTTTTCCAGTGTGGGGCCTTGGTCTTGAGGCCTCTCCTTCATCAGCTATTTTGTGTCATTTGTTTTCCTAGTAATTGTTTCAAATTTATTTTCTTTTGTGATTTCCATTACACAAGAGTAGATTAAACTAGTTAAAACTTCATGCTGATTTGCACTCGGCTTTCGCCAAGATAAGTTAGACTAAGACGTAGCTTTACAATAAACTATGCTTCTCCATCCATTTATGCTTCTTTCCATAATATGGTAGTGTGACCCCCCTTCTGTCCGGCGTTAACGGCTGCAGTGTACTTGGTGCGTCAGCACACACGACAGCTACAACTACAGTGTGGTCTCCCTAGTGGACCAGCACGACAACCGTCTGGATTGAGCCGCGTAGGGGACATCTCTAGGGTCTTCAAGTGGGCACCTTCTGTTGTAATTTATGTTGTTATACTTTTTTAATGTTTTACTTTAACTGAATCTTCGTGTGGCCTCCCCGTTAGTGTTACACTGGCCTGTACCAAGCGGGTTGTAACAATTGATATATGCGTATAATTACAGTAATCAGCATATGTAATGAAAATGCAACGAAATATGATACGTTTTTAACTGATTGACAACCCTACTAACATATAGAAGAGTATCAAAAGATTAGCTATTAGCATTGCAGATGAATTGACAATTTGAAGAAATGCTGGTAACACTTTACAATAAGGTTCATTAGTTAACATTAGTTAATGTATTTACTAACATGCACTAACCATGAGCAATACATTTGTTACTGCATTTGTTCATCTTTGTTAATGTTAGTTCATGAAAAAACAGCTGTTCATTGTTTGTTTATGTTCGTTCACGGTGCATTAACTAATGTTAACAAGATTTTAATCAAGTATTAGTAAATGTTGAAAATAACATTAACAAAGATTAACAAATGCTGTATAAGTGTTAATCATTATTAGTTCATAATAACTAATGTAGTTAACTAATGTTAACTAACGAACCTTATTGTAAAGTGTTACCAAAATGCTAATTATTATTTAAATAAAATAATTGTTCTATATGTTGTACATTAACTACAAAAATTAAATTGCAGTTAAAACGTGTACATGTATGATACCTTTGGCATTCTGGGGGCCACAGGTGACTCCAGGCCATAGTCCAGGCTGGCTGCCTCATTCTGCTCACAATACTGGGGCTTCAGTTTGCCATATCTCTGACTGCAGTGCCGGAGACTCTTCCTGTGCCATTCCTGCTGCTTGGATTCACCACCACTGCCCACTCCAAACCACTGAGCTGTACCCCTGTGTTTAGAAATAAAATAAAGAAAACAAATGATCACGGTGCAAGCCCCATTGGCTCAATTGGGATTATGTGATGCAATTTAAATCTAAAAAGCATCTTTTCAAATACAATGTGCCTTTACACTCAAGTTGATCTTGAATCTTCACTGATAGTAGGGGTGGAACAGGTTTCCTGCAATAAACATTGGTGTCAAATGGGATAACTTAATTCCAAAGAAAACCATTCTTAATGTTGGAATGAAAAACAAAACAAAAATCAGTGAAAAATTCTGTCATAAGATAAGAGATATGATCAATTATGATATATGATTTAGAAAGTGGGTGGGACAGAAGTGGATGGGAGAATAACAACTGCAAAAAATAAAAAAATCACATTACTGGTCAAACACCCAAAGGACAGTGTTCCAGAAGTCTTGTGATTTGTTCAGATGCAACTTTGCAAACCTAAATTGTGCTGCCATGTTTTTTTATAGAGAAGAGGGTTTCGGTTCCACTTTATTTTAAGGTGTCATTGTTACAGTGTGATATTGTAACAGGGTAGGATTAGGATTTGGTTGAGGGTTAGTTGCATGTAATTATACATAATTTACTGTTATTACCATGTTACATGTAACACTATGTAACACTATGTAACAAGGACACTGTAAAATAAAGTGTTACCAGGGTTTATCCTGGCAACTCTTCCAATCATGCCATACTTGTCCAGTCTTTGTTTTATTTGTTCTAATGAAACCTTTATTGCCCCGAGGGAAATTTGTTTTACACTCAAGGGAGCCACAATTGAACATCAGCACAAATAACAGTAACCCACCCCAAATATCCAACAACATTGTGTATAGGATACAAAAGTCAAAACAAACAACAACAACACAGCAATGGTAGTAACATGCAATCATCAGTCCAATATTGGATAATATTGGATAAAGTGATGGTCCTCTATCCATCCTAATAACGCCTGATATTATAATCGTTAGATTAATGAAAACTCCTGGTGGTAACATTGATTTAGCTAATCTACTGTGAAACCGAGAACATTTCAATCATTAAGTGCTAAATGATAAATGTATTTGGAGTAAAACCACAGACGTCAATTCCAGTTGGTACACAGTTTACGTGTAAGTGCAGCGAAAGAAGTCTGCCTCACAGACTTGTGAAATATAGCACCGTAAAATCCGCTTAGATTTAAATTGTTGTATGTATGCAGTTCAGATATTACGTGTCCCAGAGGGAACAATTGAAGCAGGCTGGTTGTGATTCTGCTGCCACACACTAAAGCACAGCCTAGTTCCTCACAGTCTCGAATTACCACCAAACCCTCCAACGTGAGCGCAATAGCTCCATCGTGTGGACACTCATAGATAGGTCAATCTTTTCTGAAAATGTTCTTTTCCAGTCATTTTTAATTCTTCACAGTTGAAGTGATTCAGGGGGGAAGACGCCCCGTTGTGGCCTCCCACGCTAAGTCAGTTCCTTATACTCTTTGCATTCTGTTGATTCAGTCTGTTTTCAGTTGGTTTTGCTCTATGTTGTCACTGATACCTTACAGTAATCGTGATAAGCATTAGAGATAATCCCATCCTTTAATTTTCTTAATCTCATTCAAATTTGGTTTGGAAAAAAACTTTTGAAGATAAATTTTAATTTTATTTAATTAAATTTTATGGATTGTGTTACGGTTAATTCTACTTAATTTCGTTTTCTCTCCAGATAAGTTTATTGATTTTCCCTTGGATAAATCAATGTCTTCATATTTTTTTTCTCCTCGATAAATTAATCAGTTTTGTTAATTTGTGTTTGATAAATTAATAATTTTTATTAATTAAAATAAAAAAGAAATTCTTCACTTTTCCCTCCTCTCTTAGTGATACTTTATCACGACAGCATCCTCACTATCTTAGGTGTTACATAACATCTCTGTATACGCTTATTTGAATTGATTTTAAACCAGTTGAATTGCAATTTAAATCAAGCTCGTCTTTTCTACCAGGCTAACCACTAGGAGGAAGTACGTACCCCTGTGGCCCAAACCCGCCACTACAGCTTACTTACTCCTCCTTACTCACTTGACACCTCTCCTTAGGTTATTCTGATAATTAACAACATTGTCATAATTCCCTTTCTGTCATCGTCCCCTGGCTGGCTCCAGCCAGAGTGACCTCAATTCACCCCAGGCAAGCTGAAATAAGGTAAAGAGGAAAAATCATCCACTTGGGATAGGCCATAAGAATTTTAGATATTCCCCCTTGCCATTTAAAGGACAACTCCGGCGCAAAATGAACCTTTGGTCTAATTACACATTGCTACCTAGTCAACCGTTATCTGAGATTTGTTTTCATGATTGCTAAATGTAAATAGTTTTATCTCTAAAAACAGTTTAGCCTATAACGCTAGTATAATGTTAGTATATAGGGCATAGAGTAATGACAAATAAAAATCGCTTGTTATTACCACTAACAAGGCTCAAAATAGCCACACACTAACACGACAGCATAATAAGGGTCCCTACATTCAAACCGAAGCATTGAGAACTTTGTCAGTGTCCATACAGTTTAATAAGAAAATATTTTATACATACAGTCAACTTCGCGAATACAGGAAGAAGCCATCTTTGAAAAATAGTCTCTACCAGTCGATCTACGAACGCCAATCCAAGTGCGCTGAACTGTGCAGAATATCATATGGTCCGTTGTTTTCGGAAGAAACACAAACACGAACCGTTTTCTTCTCTTCAATATGTACACGTAGCCTACTGTTCGCGCTCACCTTATCACCTTATTCACATCTCACCGGTGCACATGGATCGGCGTTCTTAGATCGACTGGTAGAGACTATTTTTCAAAGATGGCTTCTTCCTGTATTCGCGAAGTTGACTGTATGTATAAAATATCTTCTTATTAAACTGTATGGACACTGACAAAGTTCTCAATGCTTCGGTTTGAATGTAGGGACCCTTATTAAGCTGCCGTGTTAGTGTGGGGCTATTTTGAGCCTTGTTAGTGGTAATAACAAGCGATTTTTATTTGTCATTACTCTATGCCCTATTTACTAGCGTTATACTAGCGTTATAGGCTAAACTGTTTTTAGAGATAAAACTATTTACATTCGGCAATCATGAAAACAAATCTCAGATAACGGTTGACTAGGTAACAATGTGTAATTAGACCAAAAGTTCATTTTGCGCCGGAGTTGTCCTTACCACCTCCTCTTCTCAGAAATCACACAGTCGGCCCATGCCTCCTTATCTCCTGCAACACTTTCTGTGCTGTTATTTACTCTATTTCTTTACAGACTCATTAATTTCTATGGTTTAATTTCACTTCTAGCTGTTTTCATCTTGCTATTCTTTTGTTGTTCTCCTATTGTTGTTTTCTTATATTTGTTATCTTTACTTAGGCCCTGCGCTGACTTAATTGTCCCCACTTAACTGTCTAACTGTCTAACTGAGGACTTTAATTTCCAAACTTTGTTCCTGCGAAACCTGCATCCCGCGGTGAGCCATCACTTAGGGGTTCTGGCCTGTCCTCGCACCATGACTACCCAACAACTGTGAGATTTAGCCCACAAGGCTTTCATCAGGCAGAACATTGTTGCTGAAAAGACTGTAAAAACTCCATCTATCTGCCCTGTCACTGATCAATACTCAGAGCTGGCACTAGAGGGCGCCCAAACAGCACCACACTAACAAACCTTTTAATAACGAGCCAAGACCGTTTCAAGCCAGCAGAGGGCAATGTAACCATGAGGGTGCTCACCCTAAGCATCAAAGCGGGCACTCTGAAGGGTCCTATGGCAGCCCACGGCCCCCCACAACCAAAGGGGTGGAGCCACGTGGGAAGCCAGCCAACAGCCAAGAAACAGCCAAACCCCAGCGACCAGAACGTCCAGCTCAGACAACCCGCAGTGAAAAACCATGTGGCAGGCCCCAAGCAAGTTCAAGTCCAAATTCGAGCCTGCCGCAAAGGAAAACAATGAGTTTACTGAAAATTCTGAAAGAGCTTCTTCATGGGAAAACTGACAAAGAGGACAAGCCAGACTCCTCTTGACTAACGGTAAGGAATAAAACCAACACCCTTCCTGGCTGCCCTCCTACTGAACCAAGCACCCCGAACACTGTTCTCCTGACACAGACCACAGAACCAGCTGTCACAACACCAAGTGACAGCGACACACTTATTGCTGTTGACAACCGCACATCCAGAAGCGGACAACTCAACCCATCACACCAGTCATCAAACCCCTGAGATACCAGAAAGTCCTGTTTTGGTTGTGTGTCTCTGCAACAAATCACAAGACACTGACCCTAACTGTTTATCGATCACCACACAAGCCCCGACACCAAAACTCCTGGAGAACCTGATCGAAAAAGCATGCAAGGTCTATCTATCCATCACTTTGGAAAATGAGGTGAGACTCAAAGCTATGGTGGACACCGGATTGGACCTTGTTCTGATATCAGCCGAACTCTTTGAAAGACTCAGAAATAAAATCTAATAGGCTTTTTTTCAATTCTTCACACAAAATTGTGTGCTGAATGTGCAGTCATACAGCCAAACTTCAACAAATAGCTCCCATTCACCTAACGATTGGTCCCATGAGTCTGATACATCTAGTGTACATCTCACCGATGGACACATATCCCCTCCTTATCGGCAAAGATCTGTTAGACCGCTTCGAGCCCCTGCTGGACTTCAGACAGCTGAAGATTTGGGCTCAAGTGCGAGAACCTCTCTCCTTTCAGCCACCCAGGTCAACTGAGCCAGACTGTCAGGTCACAGAGGTCAAGGGAACTTTCGCCTCCAGCCACAGGGACACAGCCTCAACACCTGAGCGAGATTCAAGTTCGTTACTCTGCACTTTTCAACTCACCAAAGACTCTGAGCCTTTCTGCCCTAAGGTCAGCAACGACCTGCAGCTGAATGGCATAACCACTACAGACATTGTACTCGCACTATGGGCAGACAACTCTGCCATCAGCCTATTCTTGAAGCCCCCTCTTCAATGATCTAATTAAAGTCACACCTGACCTTCCTTCTGCAAGCAAGCGCACACGTTTCCCTTTGAACTCATGCCCATCGAACCAAGTGACTGCAAAATATATCTGCGCTTTGAACTTGAACTGGAACTAACGGTAGGGGTGCACGATTCAGAAAATGTCACGATTCGATTCGATACCGATTCTTTGTCTCGAGATTCGATTCAAAATCGATTTTCGATTCAAAAACGATTCTCGATTCAAAAAACGATTCGCAGGTCTATATAAATGTAGTTTAATTTTTCCTATGTGATTGATTGCAGTAGATATAATTTAAAAGAAAAGTTTGATATTACTTATATATATATGTCTAAATACAAAAATAAAAACTTTTGCAACTAAAAAGTGCAAAGTGCCAAGCTTTGGCCAGCTTTTAAATACATTTAATTCAAGTTTAAAATAAAACTTAAATAAAAAGCTTTTACATTTAGCTTTAAAGTGCTGTAGTCAGATCAAACAAACAATTATGCTAAATGTGGTTTAAGGAGTTGGTCTACTTCAGCTACCAGGTTGACTGTTGAAATGTGAACTCGACTGGGCACATTGAACTTCCTAAAAATATATACTAATTTCATAGAACCCTTGCGAAAATATTTTAAATAGATTTAAAAAAGCCACCGCTACTGGTGACATCTATGGTTAGATTGATTTGTTTAGATCCAGTGAAGTCGTTCATAGGCGCGTAATTTGCGGGTTTCTCCAGTTAACTAGCAGAGCATTCATTTAGTTCGCTAGAGACCTGTTGTTTTTGAAATCAAGCTGAGCGCTCCTGTCCGCTGCGATCAGTGTCATGGATACAGTGTTCTCTGTTGCTCGCGCAGTACTCTCTCGGACGCGCGCTTCAATCTATCGCCGTTGTGGAGACTCCGGTGAAATCACAAAATAAAATGCACACAAACGTGATGAACATATTAGGTTTTGATGAGAGAGAGAAAAAACTATACGAGTGCGGTTTAGAACCGTAACCTCTCACACGCTTGGCAAAAGATCTACAGAACTCACACATAAGATCTGCGGATCGATGCATTTATTTACGGGTTGAGCAGAGTGGCTGCACAGTTTGACCAGCGGGCGGCAAGAACTTGCAATAACTATTTATCAGACCGGCCCTCGCAGCCTCGAAACCATAGAAACACTACCGGACCACCGGTAAAAGTCTCGACTCACCCGATTGCCACTCCGCCCCTGCACGCCATTAAAAAATATAGCCTATATATATGAATCGATTTTTGGAATTCTATGAATCGATTCTGAATCGGTAAAGATTGAATCGCGATTCAAATGTGAATCGATTTTTTTGCACACCCCTAACTAACGGTGCCTGACCCATTGAAGCAGACATTCTGATTCGCCTCCAAGCTCATGTGGACATTATTAATGAGGTATTGTGGGCCCCACTGACTTACAGTCAGCCCCACTGACCTACAGTCAGCTGTCGTTCCCACACACTGATAATCGCCTGTCAGGCCAGACCATCCCAGAGGTTTGCACCTTAATCAATGAACAGGAAACTGTAGTACCTGCTTACACCAAAGTGGTCACTGTTCAGCTCAACATGTGATGTGGCCAAACCCTTAACCACACACTGGGTTTCTTTCAACCTTCACCCGAATGCGTTGACCTCGGACTCACTCTAGAGGCCACACCCCTCACTGAAGTGTCATCTCGTGCAGTCTACATCCTTTTCAACAACTGCATAGCAGTGGACATAAAAATTCCAAAAGCCTATCGACTAGGATGGCTAGTTAGCCACGACTTCCCTCATTTTAAACTGACTTTACCACTCATTGGGCCCATTCCAGCGTCAATGATACTCAAAGGATACACAGACGACACACTGTGCACAGCACCCTTCAAAATCATCTCCATCACCTCAGTCATGCCGATGGAAAAAGATCAAGTATGCAAAACGGAACTGACGGAGGACCAACACCTTGCCGTATACACAGTCTCCAAACAGCCTACCTGCGAGACAGATGAAACCGCTGCACCTACGCCTGCCAACACGACAGGCAACTCACCCACAGATGAGCCTTATTCAGGATTTGAGTCTCAAGTTCAGCAAATTCTAAAAGACGGTGATGCAATCAAGGAGGATGCAGATCTACAAAAACTCAGACAAGTCCTTTACAAGTTCAAAGCGTCATTTGCCAAAGACTCTTTAGATTGTGGTCTCACCCACCTCCACACCGTGCGCATCCCAACGCACCCTAAGGCTCCTCACACTTTTGTCAGGCAGTACAAGATCCCAATCGCGTCACACGAACCGGTGCAAGAAAAAAATCGTTGACTCTATGCTTGAAAAAGGTGTAATTCGCCCATGCAACAGCATCTATTCTGTTCCTATCTGGCCTGTAATCAAACCAAACAGCAAGTGGCTACACCATTGACTACAGGAAACTGAATCAACAGGTGCCACTGTCACGATGGCCCATGACCCAGCTGGAGCAAGAAATACCCAGAATCAGGGGAGCCAAAATCTTCTCTACACTTGACGTGGCCTATGGATTATGGACCATACCAGTGCATCCAGATGACCAGCACAATCTAGCGTTCACGTTCGGCAGTAGACAATTCACTTTCACCAGGTGTTCATTCGGCTATGCTAACTCACCTGCTGAGTTTAACATCTTCCTAAACAAAGCATGTCCACATGCAAGAATGACAGGAAATCTCATTTATGTGGACGACGTGCTGATGAAGAGCACAACAGTAGCCGATCACCTGAAAGAAATAGACTGTGTTTTGAACCAGTTATCAACTGCAGGCGCCAAGATCACCATCCCCAAAGGACAATGGTGTCGAACCAAGGTCAACTACGTGGGCCTACTGATCGGGTCACAGGGCATCGAACCACAGTCCAGCTGCATACAAGCTGTTCAAAACATCAAACCCCCACCAACGTCTCAGAACTGCGAAGTTTCCTGGGGGTGTGCAACTACTCACGGCAGTTCATCGAAAGCTACTCAGACTGCCCATTTGACTGGACAACCGTCCACCCAGCTTACCCTGACCCACAAAGAGAATTCTACTTAGAAGCTGGACTCTCCAACCACTGTCTCAGCGCTGGCCTGTACCAATGACATGATCAAGACAAAAGAGTAGTCGCGTATGCCAGCAAGACACTCCTTCCACCAGAGACTAAATTCTCAGATTGTGAAAAATCACTGCTTTGCACTTTATGGGAGATACAGAGATTCTCCAACTACATTGGAGCACAGAAAGTTATCATAGAGACTTGTCACCAGCCTGTCATGATCCTCAACAGCCAACGTATCCGTGATGGCGTGGTCACCAATTCCTGCATCGCCACGTGGCTGATGGCCCTCCAGGGGCGCAACGTTGAGGCACGATATGCTTAAAACCACAAGTCGGCGCTAGGTAACGGTCTGGCTGCCTGCCAGAACTGTTCTGATAATGCACCGGCTATAACAGCTAATGGCAAGGCAAGGCAATTTTATTTCTATAGCGCATTTCATACATAGCAGCAATACAATGC